GCTGCCTTCCCTCCAAACACCCCGAGTCACCCCGAATTCAAAGGATACATTTTTCTGATCCAATGTTTACTGCCGAGGTCGATCCGTCTTGTTCATCCTCACCAGTGAGAGAATTAAGGAAATAAGGATGCCAGTAACAAACCTGTGCCTCTCTACGGTCACACTTCACCCAAAACATCTGGAAGAACCATTTTATCAAGCAACAAGAAGCTAAGAACGAATGCAGAGAGCTGGGGAGCAGGTGAGTGTGAACCCCACGCTCAGCCCCCTGCTGCTCGAGCCCTGGGTCTGATTCCCTCCTGCTCAGCTGCACTCCCAAGGGAGAACTTGTGCTTCAGCACCATGAAAAGGGAACCAACTCACTCGCCCTACACACACTGTCTCTAAAGAGATCTCTTCCATGGGTTTCTCACCCAAAAGTGAGAGATGAAGTCAGTAATTAACTCCTGAGCAGTTACAGAAGGTGAAGGAGCATCTGCTCGTGGCACTCGACAAACCAGGAGCTTTTCTCCATGGAAGTTACTCTGCTGTGGAGAAGGAAGATTGAAAATTTTCCCCAGTTCTCCCCAGCACACCCCCAAAGGTGGAAAAGGCTTTAGGAGACAGTTAACAAACATTGTCCTCCACAGCCCCGGGCTGGCTGGGCAGGGAAGGATATTCCTCCTCGTCGGTCACGTCGGCGTACTGGGCCAGGAGAGCAGCCTTCCTCTGCCTCTCCTCCTGAGACACTGCCTTCGGCCTCACCACCATCCTGGCCTGCTTCTCCATCACGCTGGCGATGGCCTGGATCTCATCTGGGGGGAGCAGCAGAGCTCAGCCAGGCCCCGCAGGCAGGAGGGGCCGCAGGGCGCCGCTGCCAACACCCACGGGGCCCAGGAGGCTCCAGCCCCGGGGACAAGCCTCCCCCAGCACCATCCCCCTCCTCCCACGAGCTGTCTCACCAGGGGAACTCGGTCCGAGGGGGCAGGAGCTGCTGCAGAGCCCCCGAGGGGACAGCCCAGGGCAGCACCAGCACCACAACAGCCTCCCCTGTGCCAGCCACGGGCAGAACCTGCTCCTCCTGGGGCCAGGGAAGTGTCACAGGGAAACTCCTGTTATCAGTAAGACCTGAACTAGTGAAACTGCAACTCTACAGCTCCTGACAGGAGCCTGGAGTGAGGTGGGGGTTGGGCTCTGCTCCCAAGGAACCAGCAATAGGACGAGAGGCAATGGGCTGAAGTTGCCCCAGGGGAGGTTTCAGTTGGATCTCAGGAAGAATTTCTCTCCTGGCAGAGTGGTGAGGCCTTGGCCCAGGCTGCCCAGGGAGGGGGGGGAGTCCCCAGACCTGGGGGGGGTCAACACACGTGTGGAGGTGGCACCTGGCGACATGGTTTAGTGGCCATGGGAGTTTTGGGCTGATGGTTGGACCTGATGATCCTAGAGGTCTTTTCCAACCATAATGATTCTCTGAAAATCCACTTTACTCTAAATTACATTATCTTCTGGCTCAGAGAGGCCACGATCATTCAGCTGCACACTTAAAACCACATTAGGTGCAAGTTCTGAAGCCTGGAGCAGCCGAGCAGTTTAATTCTCCCTCTCCTGCCCCCACCCAGGGAAGCAGAGGCTGATTTACCTCTAACACACAGTTCCAATGACATTTGGGGTTTGACACCAAATTCGTTTTAGTTTGTTAGAGAAAGCTGCTGTTCTCAGCAGCTCCTGGCTGCCCCGGGGACCCGTCAAACACCAAACCCCAGGGACACACTGAGCCCCAGGGACACACCAAACCCCTGTGCTCCCAAGGGCCTGGCCCCAGGCTGGGGTCCTGCAGCAGCTGCACCCCCACAGCTCCCCAGGAGAGGGATCTACCTGTCACTGCAGGGAGCAGGGGACTGTGCCCTGTCCCCACCAGAGGAGACTCGAGGCCAGGACAGAGCTCAGTGAACTTTTGGGGAAAGCTGTGTGGTTCAGCTGCCTCCTCTGTGAAGAGGAGGGGAGAGAGATTTGTGGAACCAAAGAATTGTTTAGGTTGGAAGAGACCTTTAAGTTCATCAAGTCAAATCATCCCCCAGCACTTCCAGGTCCCCCCTGCCCCG